GAACTTGGCTAGTCCACTTCTGACTCCAATGTCCACATCATTAATGAAGATGTTGAGCAATATAGGTCCAAGGACAGAGCCTTGGGTGACCCCACTGGTCACAGGGCACCATGACGATTGACTTCCGTCAATTACTACCCTCTGGGTCTGACCACGGAGCCAGTTTCCCAGCCAGTGGATTGTGGTGGACCCAAGGCCACAATTGGCCAGTTTCGCCAAGAGGTGATCATGAGATACCAGATTGAAGGCTTTTTTGAAGTCAAGATATAGGACATCAATCTCTTCTCCCTTGTCCAGGTGATAGGTCACCTGGTCGTAGAAGGAAATGAGATTGGTCAAGCAAGACCTACCTGCAACAAACCCGTGTTGGCTATCCCTCATTAAGGATGGCCTCTTTGATAAACTTTTCTAAGATCTTCCCCAGGAAACAAGTCAGGTTGATGGGCCTGTAGTCTGCCAGATCTACTTTCCTCCCTTTCTTGAAGATACGCACCACATTGGCCTTCTTCCAATCTTCAAGCACTACACCAAAGCACCAGGAAGTCTCAAAGATCTGTGCCAGAGGCTGGGCTATGATGCTCACCAGTTCCTTGAGTACCCTGGGGTGTTGATTGTCAGGGCCAGCTGACTTGAAGGTATCCAACCTCTAATGGTGTTCCTTTATAAGGTCAGCACTGATGGAAGGCAGGGGATCTTCTTCACCCCACCCAGGCCCCTACTTGGCCCAGCCCCCAGGGAGAGACAGAGGTAGGGGAAGGGTACTTACCAGTCCCTCTCCAGTGGGTAGGGCCCCCCAAATCCTAGGCAGGGCCCCTCCAGCCTGAGAGCAACTTCCTTGATGGCGGGCCCGCTGCACATGTGCGTAGTTTAAAACAGCCCGCCAACAGCAAAACAGTCTTACTTAGGCTCCAGGAGCCTCTTTTGCACTTTTGAGTGAAAACAAAAGCTAATTTACTTGCTTCAAATATGCTCGAAGCAAGTGGGTGTGTGTGTGTGTGCGTGTGTGTGTGTGTGAGAGAGAGAGAGAGGAAAATGTGCGTCAGAAATAACTGGCAGTTATTAATGCTATATAGTAACAGTTCTGTTACAGATGGCATCAGGATCTAGATTACTATGTGCTTCAGAACAAACTTCTTAATGTTTGATTGTCAAGGTAGAGGAGTGCATCATAGACATTTATTGCCATTGTATACACATGTTGGCTTGAAAACAGTGGGGTAATCATGGAACCATTGTTAAAATAAATACTGGCATGTAATCACAGGATCTTGTAGTATAACAACTTTATGGTCTGTGACTATAAAAAGATGGATATTACTTGTTCATCTAAACCCCGTATTTACTAACAATCAATAAAACCATGTCTGTCCAGAGACTAAGCATATTCCAGGCCAATGAAACTTATTTACCTGCTCAGATCTGATCCTGGTAGGTACTGAGAAAAACGGGAATGAAGTAGTGGGATTAATCGGAGATCACACCACCTCTTCTCCCACCTAAGTCCTGGGGATGTTGGCCATGATGAACATGATAATGTATCCTGAAAAAGATTTCAAACATGTCTGAGTGTTTAGCCTTTATCATAAGCATGACAGACAGACAGACAGACTTCCTTGAAGTATTTGCTGCACAGTTCAGTATTAAATAATCTTCCCTGAAATTCTATTCTGTCAGTTTGTAGCTGCTACTGACAATTCTAAGCTTCTCTTTTGCACCTTTGAGTGAAAACAAAAGCTAATTTACTTGCTTCAAATATGCTCGAAGCAAGTGTAAACCACTGCTAACACTACAATCAATTCTCTATAATTGTTAACTGAACTGCATATTACAAAC